TTTTTTTTTTTTTTTTTTTTTTTTAAATCATTTGGCCATATTCTCTGGGGGGGGGGGCAATGTAATTGATGCTTGTATTACGTGTCAATTTCATTTTAATAATATCATACGATTAAGTTTAAGAAAGTTTAAGTGTCGCATGGACGGATTTTCAAGACAAATATTAACATTATGTACATCGTTAAATTTATCTATAATATTTTCAAATATCATTATTAACGACATAAAAAAAAGAACTATATATATATATATATATATATATATATATTTACGCACAGATAGCAATACATACAACGTAAGTGTATAATATAAATATTGTAAATGTTTACAATGCATCAGATTTTTATTTACATTTTTATTTATTTATTTTTTTATTTATTACATTATATACATTTTTATTTACTCAAAGATATTTCTATAGACGTATATTTAAGAATATAAACAACCAAAATTTTAAATGAGAATATCCATATTCGAGAAGTACTAATGAATACTTAAAAGAAAATCCATGAATGTAGGATTAAATGAATGTAAAAATATAGAATAATAATAAATTTGCAATTATTATTATCCTATTGACTTATTGCATTTAGTAAATACTACTATAGAATAAAGCACAATATATTTATATATTAAATTCGCTAATAAATTATTTTTACACTCAATCTATGACAACAATATTAACATTAACATTCTTCATGATAGAGGGTGTGTTGAAGTAATCGTAAATAATTTTTACATTCGTTAAAAATAAATAATTGATTGATATATATATATATATATATATATGTCAGGAGTACATGTAAAATTGTAAAAATTAGGTTACAAGTAACATCACGACCAATATCATTTGAAGAAAATTCAATCTAGAAACGTCTATTTACGCAAATTCATATTTACTTTTATTTAATTATTCTTTCCCACTAAATAATTTTTATCAGTATTTCAATTGAAGAGTCAAATATGTAATAATTACTTAAAATTTATGGTAATAATCAACGCTCTTTCTATTACTAAAATGCAATTACTTTTCTCTCTCACTCTCTCTCTCTCTCTGTCTGTCTCTCTCTCTCTCTCTCTCTCTCTCTCTCTCTCTCTCTCTCTCACTCTCTTTTAATTCAAGCGATTCAACAAATCTGTCATTTTATTTTGATACATTAATGTGATCTATTTAATCTCGTGTATAATACATTTATATATTTAGTATAATATGTATATATATATATTTATAAAATATAAAAATTGTAATTTAATGCAAGGATTGTTATTGTTACCGTCACTATTCCTATTATCACTGTCATATTGGCAATTTAATGCACAATTATAATAATGATTAATTAAACGCGTTTGCCATGCAACTCGATGCTCAAATATTTATAAATAATTTATAGAATGAGTTTGAGAATAAATTAACCACTCTACATGACACGTTATTCTACAAGCATACATTCCCAAAGCACTGCAAGTAATGTTTATTAAATTGGATAATTTTTTATACTATTTGAAATAAGCTTAGAGTTCGATTCCTTATCACCAATGAGCCCAGTATAATAATACCAAGTCTTACATTTTTTGACATGATTTTACAGTGCTAATGATAACTTTTATTAAATAGCTGCATAATAAATTATCGGGAAACAAAAAGCTTTCAACGGAATATAATATATATTAATCTCTTTTGTTATTATGAATAGCAATTTAGATAATTGTTAAGATTGATGACAAATGAAAACTGTACTTGCGATTTTTAATCGAATATTGATTATACCGAGGGAACATATAATTTTTGCTCCAAGAACGCATATTAATTTTAATTATACGATAACGAACCGAGTAACGAACGCAACAGAACGTTATGTGTGCGATGTTTATACTATACAATAAGAAAACGTTTCTTTATACGAATCATCTATATATACGAAGCGTCTAATTGAATCTCTCCAATGCTGATTAAATATACAAATATTAAAAAGCAGTGCTAAAAGTCAATGCAAATGACGCAAGTACGAATATTCGATGCTTCGATTGGACATTAAGTTTTAGCGTCATAAATTATGATTGAATGAGTAATAGTGCGAGTAAAGTACGTTGCGCGATATCACAATTGTTAGATGCCTATCTTTAGGTCACCAGGTACGAATGTCAAAGCACAATGAGCCCACGAAATATGACGCATATTACGCAGCCCTTTGATGCTAGAATAATAGAGATGCAATGTATATATATATATATATATATATAATGACAAAGATGTTAGGCATCGAAAAGGAGGGAATGCTCGGACGGAGGATGTAGGACAAGCAGTTAAAATGAGATGCCCGTGAGCGGGCGTAAAACAAAATCGCCCTCCATATCAATTCATCGCGGATGAAGTTTGGAATAATATGGAGAAAGAAGGGACTAAGCAGACGGACGATCGCGAGAGACACAAGGAGGAGGAAATTCGATCAGAGCCAGGGAAAATTTATGCGTCGCATGAGAAGAGAGACGCCGTGGATCGTGGGACGTAGACGTGCGCGCGCGCCCGCCAGTAATAATCCGGCGATCTCCCCGCGGCTTTTCCTCGTGTTTTTCGTCGAGTCGCCGCGTGATAGGTACGAGGAAATCCCACCCACAAGATCTTATCACACGATAAAGTCAAATGAGGAAAGGGACAGTTACCTAAGCTCGCCGACTAATGCTCTTGGCTGTCATTTTCCTGGCTTCATCTCGTTTTTATTGGCATTTCAGGTGGTGTTGGTGTTGCGGGATCTTTGCACACGGACACTCATAATAATCGAATAAGAATAATTTGCTTGAGATATATGAAACAAAAATTGAACGAAAATACTAATAAAAAGAATTATTTTATCGCCGAAATTGTTATTATTAATGTACAGGCTACCGCGACTAGGAAAAAAAAAAAAAAAAAAAAAAAAAAAATCTTATTATTCACAAATTGTACAATAATCTATAAAAATCGTTTAAAGCGGCGCATTAAATTCTAAATAAAATCTTTTTGTTTGTACTAGACCTAGACTTGGAGTGTATACGATAAGACCTGCATAAAACATTATGTAAGAGGCATTAAGGGATGTATTGGTAGTGCGAGTGATTTACCGACTTAATTTAATGGGCTATTTTTAACATTAGGAAATAAATGAAGATCAACTGTTGTTACTGTAATTGGAACTGCAAATACTACATGCAACACTAATGTCAAAGAATTTTTTTACAACAAAGGTGGAAAAATGTGCGCTAAAAATGTGTGCATAAAACATTCGTAAGGCAAACAAAATTATTATTCATCATTCATTTCTAATCAATACATGCTTTTCTAATCTTCTATATGACAAGCTCTCTATCTCTATCACTATCTCTATCGCTTATCGCACAAAAGTTTATTTGAAAATGAAGTCAATAGTTCTAGTGAATTTTG